AAATAATGAAATAATTTTTAATAATTTTTCCATATTTTTTTTCAGTTCATTGTTTATAGGAAGTGTTGGCTCACTAATGTTGATACATTTTGGCTGGAGATGGGTATTTTTGTCCTTTGGTTTCCTTGGATTACTTTGGGTTGTTATTTGGAAAGAATTCTTCCTTTTTAGAAGAAGAACAATCGAAGAAGACATGTATAGAATGTCCAAAAAATTTGAAAGTAAGACAAACAGATCTCGTAGTTATACCCCAAGAAATGCAATCATCCCTTGGGGCAAGCTGGTACGACAGCCAGCTATATGGTAGGTTTATCATTTACTTCTAATGTCTGTAATTTTGAAAATAATTGTATGTCGTAAAAATAAAATGTAGTGGATGTGTGTTGAGTGAACTTTGCTGAAGGGCACTGTACAGGGAGTGATGGTTGTAAAATACAAGTTGAAGTATATGTCATGTAAGTTTTATGAACAGTTTTCTTATACTTAGAATATAATAACTCATGGCACAAATTAAAATTGAACATTGATAATAGCATGGTAAATGATTTGATAATCATGGTGGTGGCATGCATGATGATTCAAATGATTAGTGATATTATTATTATTATACATTTTACTAAGTATCTCAAATCTGATTGGTCGAGAGCTCTCAGCCGATCCCTGATATCATGGCAAGCGCATTCGGGATAGATCTATTGTTATTTTGTTATTTGATTATTTTCATATGACAATGTTCTGCAATTAGGTGTTATATATTGATAGAAAAATCTTCCTTCTAACTCCCATTGTTTATTTTGTAACCTGTCTTATTTTCAACTTTTTTCAGGGCTATTATAATTGTTCACTTTTCCCAGAATTGTATGTATTTAAATTTATCTTCCTGGTTACCCACATATTTTCATGAAAATTTTCCTGATGCCAAGGTAAATAATACAGACATAGTCAATTATAATTATAAATTACTGAAACTACAATTTTCATAAACATATATGTTGACTCAGGCTGTATCTGCAAGGTGCATGCTGAAATTTGGTTCACTGCCGTCAATTCAAACCTTATCAGTCGTTAACTTTCACATGTTTGACTGGTGGCAGCAAAAAAACAAATTTCAGCATGCACCTCGCAGACACAGAGTTCGCATGTTCATGAAAATAGCAGTAAGTTAAAAACAAAAATGTGATTTTAATATGTTTTTCTACCTAGTTTAAGAAAGTCTTCTAAAAAATTAGTTTCTTTTATTTATAATTCAGGGCTTTTAGAATAAGCTGTCATCTGCTGGAGCTCTGGTGATTGCTTTAGATTTACAGCATGCTGTACAATATATTAAGTTGATCTTAATTATTTTTTATTCATTAATTTTTAGGGTTGGATTTTTAATGTTTTACCATATGTTTTTAATTTTTCCGGAAAAATTATTGGAGGTAAATGTGCAGACAAAATGCTAAATATGGGTAAGTAATTAGCCAAAATTATTATGATATTTTTTTAGCCAATAATAGACCAGTTTCGAGTTCTAAATTACCACTGTGTTCCTTGATTACAGACTCATTTGCACAGGGTTAGACTCGTATCAGTGTTTAAATATTCTCAAATACCAACAGAAAAGTAAAGAATTCATGCACAACTTTAACAATACAAACACTTTGAAAATCGAAGGACCTTGAATGGAACACGTGAATATTCTGCACAAACTTGAGGCTAACCCTGTGCAAATGAGTCTGTAATCAAGAAACACAGCGGTAATTTGGAATTCGAAAGGGGTCTATTAGAGTACGAACCAAGAAAACATCCTGTTGTCAAGCTCATCAATGTATCTTGTCATGTTGGATTTTCAGGTTATTCTCTTACATTTGTGAGAAAGTTTTTTGAGGTAAGTCAGTGATTGATCTGATCAGTGCCTTATAAGTACATATTTAAGTACATTGAAAGGCTTCATCTGGATCTTATTCAAAGGTCTGGAACTCCTGCACCATATTGCAGCCCTGTGCATCCACACTCTCTGTGGTTTTAAACCTTTCACAATTCAGTTATTGACCCTTGCCAATTTTTTCCCCTATTAACCAGTACAAGTGGTGGATTCTAAATAAAATTACAACTAATTTTACATAAAATATTCACAAAACATGGTAATTTAGGGTTTACTTAGTACCTCATACATAAGACTACATGAAATGGCACTATTGGATTATTAATTATTGATTATTGATCACAGTGTCCTGAAACCCTAATCCATACCCAAAAAAAAAACTCACCTTAAACTTTATTTTTGAATAGTGCCATTTCATGTAATCTTACATTACGTTTACAAAAGGGTCTTTTCATCAATTTTCTAAAAAACGAGATTTAAAAAGCATTTGTTTTTGGGATAATTAGTGAGCCCGGAAATCCTAGATTTGCTTGATGAAGTTATAAGAATACTAAAATGACATGTAACTAAAATCTATATGAATATACTCACATGTGCTGAAACGACCATACACATTTAATGAACTGGCCTAAATACCATGTTATGAAAATGACATAACAAAACTACTGATATTCAGGCTGTATAACTTATAAATAAATCACTTCATACAGGGTATTTTTATTTCAACAGACATTAGCTACTGCTGGTGCTGGACTAATCATGCTGTTGTGCTCATATGCAACAGAGTTCTGGCAAGCACTGGCTTGCGTCTCTTTGGCATTTGGCTTGTCATCACTGACAACCAGTGGAGCAATATGTAACATACAAGATTTATCACCCAATTTTTCTGGCTCTATTAGTGGTAAGTCTTTGACAAATTGTAGTGTTATACCAGACTCTTGTTCTGCCAACCCCCGCGTGCTTTACAACTGCACACAGCATTTTCTTTTACTTCATTATTAGCTGGAGCCAATCTACAGATCATAAGCATACCTGTCTGAATTAAAATGTACTGTCAGTACCTAACACTTGTAAGATAAGAAAACCTTTGGGTAATAAAGAATAAGAGTTCTGTCTGACCAGGTTACAATTAAAGTGCAAATGAACCCTTTGACAATACATTCAGTACTGGTTCTGCATAAAGTAAATAGTTGATTGGTAAAATATTTCTTGATTTGAGTGATGCATCTCTAAGTTACAAAGGTTCATACTTACAATATGTTAATGATGATGACATCAGGTAAGGTATTTGAGTGTTTTTGTTGTAACTAGTAATACTAAATGCTGACCATTTTGAAAATAAAAATTTTAAATAGCTTTCATGTAAACCATGAGTAAAATAATAATGCTTTTTAAATACTGTATCTATGAACCAGTTCGATTTTGTATATTTAATTAAGCCTTAATAGACGTCACACTTATTAGCATATTGGAAGTATAAACCATTATAACTTAGAAACGCATCACTCAAATCAAGAAATATTTTACCATTCATATGGAATCAGTACTGAAAGTATACATTGTCGAAGGGTTCATTTGCAAGGGACCCAAAATGAGATCAAATATTAAAATTAAAGAAATAAAAGAGGCGACTTGATTTGTTAATTTATTTCTTATTTCTAGGAATGGTATTCACAATAACATCAATCCCAGGTAATTTAATCTGTTTAAGGTTACATTATATTCATTTAATACTAAGTAAAGTGTCTGAAATTATGGCTTCATTTTTTATACTTGAATTGGATTTTGTTCCCATTTCATCAATCAGAATAATGAATGAATAAATAAATTATGTGGAAGCAGAAGTTATGCAAATAACCTACAATATAATGCTGTAGCATTTAAAAGTGGGCTACATTTAATTAATTAAAAGTGGATCGAGGATAACTGCCGGTCATCAGTTAACATTCGGCAGGAATCAGAATATGTCCGGTCAAATATATCACTTGCTGTCATTTTGACCAGTCAATTGAGCCAGAAATGAGGCCCTAGTGAGCTAAAACTAATTTAGCCCATCATAATGACCGACCACCGACCAGCCATTTTTTAAGGTCCTCTGGTGCAGGATGAGAGAAAGGTCTTATTATGAAAAAAATTAATTTACTGATTAATTTAAATTAGTTTAAATAAGCATAGTAAGTTTCTAGTAAAAGAGTAGTAAGACAGTAGAGTCTTTTAATTATAAATAATAGTCTATATTTAATTGCCCTACTTCACTATGACGTCACATCAAAACAAATTTTGACAATCTATTGTTTAAACGCAAAGGATCATGGTCGTCGGACGGGGTCAAATCAACGCAAACTAACCGAAAATTGTTCTAAATCCCGTATCATTCCACGAAGAGAAGTAGAATAGCCAGCAAACGCTCAGAATATTTTTTAGTACATATTAACACACATTATATCTGAAAACCAGGCCATTTTAGATTAAACTGTTTCGCTAGGAGCAAATTTAGTTGAATTTTCTATTGGATTTGGCGATTCTATCCCCGACATAAACAAGCAGTGGTCAACGTCATAGTGAATTAGGTCAATTAATGCTCGGAGTAGGGGAGGGTTAAAAGACAGAATGGAGATGGTATGGCAGGAGGAGTTGGGAGAAAGAATAATTAAGCAAGATTACTTGCTCCCCTCATCTTTCCAGTACCCCCTGTTCTGATTTGATTTGGTATCTTGGTATCTAAATTTCAATTGGGTTTGTGAATTAGAAAGTGCTGTATGGAAAAATTCCCATAGCAATAATTGTTTTCTTCATTATATTTTTGTTAATTCCTTCGTGTTGTTGTGCATCCTTCCATTTTTTTGCCTGTTGATAGTCTATTTTTAGTCTGTCTCGTTTTTCTTATCTCATCTTATGTTTCATTCCATTATTTTTTCTAGGAATCATCGGTGTTTATTTTACAGGCTATATTCTACATGCAACAGAAAGCTGGCATGTCGTATTCCAGCTAACAGCAGTTATATGTATTGTTGGGAACACTGTATATATTATATTTGGATCAAGCAAAAGAATAGCTTAAGTTAGTATATACACAGTAGCTAAGCTGCCATGAACAAATGAATGAACTGTGGTCAAGATTATTTTACAACACATTCATGACCTTCAAAATCTTCAAACATTCAAATTTTATCAATACCCTGAAACAGCCTCTGTGCTGATAAAAGTCAGGGAAACGCTAACTCACAGATTGATACCCTGGATGACCTCTGGGCTCATCTAAGTCAGGGCACATCTAACTCACAGATTGAATATATTAAATATTAACTTATTTCCAGAATGAGAAAAATTAAGGACTATAGCCAGCTTTTGTCAGTTGGTCAATATTCCCTAATTCTAGTCAATATTGAAGATCATAAAATTAGTTGAATAGCCTGGTAAGAGTGATTTTCCTCAGACTGTGAAATAGCTTCTAGTAGTTAGTGTATAATAGTCAAATTTATTCTATTAGAGTGCAAACAATATAACCGTGAAACTTTAGCAATAATAAATAGCACAATTTCATGCAAATGCCATTGTTTTTTTGTTTAATTAGCACTATCTTGTACTACTTAGTAATTAGTGTTTCACGGATTAATTGTTTGCACTCTAGTCTAAGTACTAACTAATTTTCGTGTCCTAAGTAAAACCACTCCCACATATTACAGTGCAGATTAGACACACTAACTCAGGCAGGGCAGGACCACTTTTGCTGGCTGATTCAATACTGAGTCTACCATCTCGTGTTTGGCTAATGACAGTTTTCACTCTATGATATGATTGGTTAACTCAAACACATGGTGCAGCATTTCAGGGCAAATAGTATCCAAGTGATATAACACCTAAGTGCAAGTTTTCTGGATTCAGTGTAATTTTATGGCTCCAATTAGCCGTTCCTAAGTTGAGGAAAAGACTGGGTCGAGGTGGTATTGCATTGTGGGACTGTTTTAGGGGACATATTACCAAGATGGCGTCTATTTCATCCCCTAAAACAGCCCCAAAATGCACTGTGAATACAACTTGACCCAATCTTTTACTCAACCTTGGAATGACTAACGCCACACGGTCATTGCTCTTTGTGCTCAGAATAAGGCCTAATAAGCCATGGTACCTCCATACTTTCTATAAAATTAATAAAAGATAACAAAAAAATAATAATAACAAATATTTTAAGCTCTTGAAAAGCCTTCCTATTTATGATACAAATTCAATGGAACTTGAAAAGCTCTTGAAAAAGTAAAAATCATTAAAAAGTCCTTGAATGCTCCTTGAAAAGTAAAAATATTCTTTGTCAACGCTGTGAGGTTTGAAAATGAAATAATGAAGAAAAAAAATGAATAAATATAGAACATCAGGAAAAAACTAGTTTATTGAAAAGACAGTGTTATTATGGAAATGTTGTTTATTTAAATGGGCTTCCTCTGGTTACCCCTGGAAAAATATGTGGGGAATGTCATATGTGTAACCACGAATAAATGAAGGATACAATTTTTATGAGCACAACAACAACAAAACATCTTTAATTAATCGAATGTTTTGAAAATGTCCTTGAAAGTTCAAATTTTTCATCCTTGAATACAAGATGTCTTGCACTCAGTTGTATTTGAATGCTGGGTTAGTGTTACCATAGTAACAAGTTCCCACATCTCAAGGTCAGTCAATGCGATGTGTGGTCACCTTATTACTTTTCTCCTATAAACCAAAACTGTGTGGTTTAGTGTACATGTGCATGCTGCAGCGTTTTTTAATACTGGGTTATTGTTACCATAGCAACAAGCTCCCATATCCCAATGTCAGTAATTGTGCTGTGTGGTCACACTATTGCTGTTCTCCTAACTACCACTGTGTTGTAGACTGTTGTGTTGCAGTGTATTTGGATACTGGACTATTGTTACCATAGTAATAAGTTCCCATATTCCAAGGTCAGTAGATTTTTTCTGTGTGGTCACCCTATTGCTGTTCCCCTAACCACCACTGTGTGGTAGACTGTTGTGTTGCAGTGCATTTGAATACTGGATCAATTGCAAGGTAAAACCCAAAATAATCGGCAACTGGAAAGTCACTGGTAGGATTGAACTGGCATCCACTGGGGTCTATGTGGAAGTGTTCATTGGCAGGCTTATAGGACTTAGTAGTGCAGTTAAAGCATTCATCTCCATTGATGTTGATATGAAGGTATTTTTTACACTTGTTATTGAATGGTTCTGATGACGTGATGTCCATTACCCTCAACAAGCCAAGCAGAAAGTCAGGAGTAAGAGATGACCTTTTGTCATAGTCACATGTAGCTCTGAACAAGCTGGACCTCGATTGAAAATACTTCATGTTGCCTAGCGACAGACGATAGTGGTTCCAGCTAAAGGATTCCTGATTTTTAGGGTAATCCTGATGCAAGCCTTGATTCTTAAAATAATCTTTATTTTGAAGAGAGAAAGATTCGATGACAGTCCAGGCCTGGTTGGGACTTTCAAAGGCACAATAGACGGGTACAGTAGTCTTGGTATCACTACGGGTGATAATGTAGGTACCATTTGCTGGTATGGTACCTGGTGCAGTTCCGTTGAAGACATCAATGCAGGAACTGAACTCTCTCTTTTCACAGATGTTTCCTTTGTAAGTGGCTGGGTATTTGCAGCTGAACTTGACTTTTGGTTTCTCACAGTGTTCTACAGAGGTTCCTCCGTTTAAACAAGGCTGAGTTCTACAGCAACCATTGTAACAAACATCCGAAGACCGAACGGTGAAGGAGTTCTGACAACAAAAGACATGAATTATGACTATCACCACAATTATCATTCGTATCCTCACGTCTATGATCAAAATTTTTATCATCATCATTATCAATTCTCTTTTCGTATGCACTGTCCTAGTGTCGGTGATGCATGGTATTACAAGGTTGTATGTTAAGTCCTACTCTATTCAATCTCTTCCTAAGTGACCTTCCAGACTTTCTTAAAGACACAAATATAAATGATCCGATCTGTTTCGATAATGCACTATTAAATTGTATTCTTTATGCTGATGATCTAATTTTATTCAGTAAAAACTATACAGATCTTCAAGCCCTTTTAAATAAACTTGAACTATTCTCTAACGCAAATGGTCTAGATGTAAATATTGAGAAAACTAAAATTCTCATTTTCAATAATTCAGGGAGGCGGTTAAGTAATTATGTTTTTTTATTATCAATGGGTCACTCTTTTCTTGTGACCCGTAAAACTCTTTAGTACATGAAAATGTTAAACTTATATATATATATATATATATTTTTTTTTTTTTTCCGCGGATACGAAAATGTTTGCGTCTACACGCAGCGCATTCGAATCGTTTTCACCGTCCACACGTATCCGTTTTCGTAAAATTTGCGGACACGTGTGGACGCAACCCGTATCCGTAAAAAAAAAATTACGGATACAAAAGTTTGCAGATACGTGTGGACGGGGCCTAAGGCAAATCTGATACAAAATTGTGGTCATTTGCATAAACTTTAGGTTGGATTTTCTTGGCCAGATTCACTTAGATTTTGAAAAAGTTTGTGGAACAGAAAGGAACTAAATTAGACGTTTGACAAGCAAGCTACAGTATGAGTGTCCGTGTTAGTGTATCCGATATACAAACTCTCGACTATGCCTCGAGTTTGTATATCTAATAAAACACGGCCACTCCGGCGATACTGTATACACCTATTTCAGAAATCGTTGTCGCACCAAAAGTCTCAAGCAACAAGCCAAGACCGCAGAGAACGCCGGTACTTTTAGCTGTAATTAGTTTATTCATGGTGCATTTTCATTTATTGACTTCACAAATTGCTCCAAGCAATGCTGCTTGAGACGATAATTAGTGTAGCTATAGCCACTTGCATGAACCATGAATAAATTAATTATAATTAAAAGCGCCGACGTTGTGGTTACGACGTTGTCACGTGGTTCTTGGTTTCTTTGATATTCAAAATATCGAAACATAGTGGTAGGGCTTGATAAATGAGCGTTTTACTGTAACCAGTCGGAAGGTTTACAAAAATATATCGTTTCTGATTCAAAGTAAACTTCAATCGCTTGTTTCTGATAAAAACTCATAAGTTATCAATTTTGAAAAGATTGCACACGAGGGACGCCATTTTTGTTGTCGCGAAGTCAGCCTAGATTGAGCAATCAGTCTCGATTTTAAAAGCTTCAATTGTTCAATTTTGGGAAAGTAATGTCCTGATCAAGTAAGCAGACGTTCCTGTGGAGGTAAACGTAACGATCCCTAAGAACTCCTGCGTAGAAGGCTACTTCGGGCACCGCCTTTGAAAAAAAAAAGCGAAAAGAGAATACCCTGGGTACGAGGTTGATAAAACTGTCTTTTGCTTTTTCTAGAAAGTAGAAATATCCGATGGTTCCCAAAAAAAAAAACGAATTATGGAAGATTATGTCTATATCCATCTTGCAATACATAAAAATGTTTATTGCTGTCGTTCTTCGACTTTGATTTGCCCCAAAGCGATGTTTTTTGTGCCTTTGTGAGTTTTGCATTGCAATTAACCAGAAACGCATACCATATAGTTGTGCCAACACCGACGGACGGAGCAAAAGCTCCGCTATTGACTCTTTTCTTCTTCTCAACTTTGAGGAGCTCTTTGCGAAAATACAATATCTTTTTATCTTTTACTGCACATGAAAACTATTATGATTATTCGAAGTGTCCCTCAAATTTAATGCAAATGAGTCAAATTGAAATGCGTTATGGGTCATAAAGGAGCAGTGTATAGGTCGCAAAAAAAATTTGGATTTCATGCTTCGTGGCCATTTCTCCTATGATATTCAACACTATAGGCTGAAACATCGCCCTGTTACTAATATTGAGGTGCTCTTTTCATTTATGACGTTCTTTTTGAAACAATTGCCTGTTTTTTCACGCAAAACTGAGATGTCATGAAGCCTGCGAAAAATGACCAGCGAAAAATAAAAACCTGTCTACCATTGAAATAAAAAAATCAAACGGCTCAATAATTATTATGACACTGTTATCGACCTCTTATAAACGACGCTATTTTTTCATTTGGTGTTAATGCAAGTCGTCTATTTTTCTTTAGAAACCTAATTTTAAAGGATTTGGTTTTCTTTACTAGTGCTAATTAGTTAGTTAATGATTTTTCATAGACTCACTGTCTGTACTTTACTTTTATTCTAACTCTTATAAGACAGTAAAATCAGTCGTCAACACCACTAAACTTACCCCTTTATAGAGTGTCTGCTGTAGATCATAGTACACGTATCCTGTCTCATCTACAAAGTCTGCTGCCTTGGAAGCCTTGTCCTCATCCAGCAACTCACACCTGACATCTTTCATCTGGAACGACTTACAACGACAATCATTGATACAGGACGAGAAGCACGTGCGTGGAACATYAGTGGTAATGTTCTTGTAGGAGTATCCTCTGAGATGTTTTCCCTTGATGACTTGGTTGTTCTTTGGGAAAGATCCCGAATAGCAGGTGCCTTGACATTGGAACTCAC